AAATTGATAAGAATATACCGTGGCGAAAATATAATTAAGGAAGTGATATTTTAGCAAGTCTTGGCTATGTTTCTTTGTTTAAAAAATATTTATTATTTTTTATGAAAATATAGCTTACCATCTAAAAAAACACGTAAATCAAAATCTCAAACTTTGCAGAATATTTACATCAATTCGACGCATTTCAACAAATCAAGCCCTAACCGGCAATTTTTTCGATTGATTTTTTTTTGATGCAGAAATACATCAAGTACTCTATAAACATTTCTGAATCAAAAAGAAAATTTTTAAAAAAGTTTCGCTTACATCTTTTTAGCGGTTAGGGCTCGAAATGTTCACCAAAATTTTAAATTTTTTAACACATTTTTTAGATTTTCGTGTTTTTTGAGTATGTCGTTTTGTAACAAAGTTTGTTCGTAAATTTTTTTGTATGGAGAAAATGAACAACACGAAAAACAATTGCCAAAAATCAACGGTAAGTCCTAGCTACTTCAAGCTATTTCTTATGATACCAAAATTTAATGGAATAAAAAACTGTCTACATTTTTAGAATGTTTAAAAAAGTTGAATTTAAAAGCTCCAAAGTATTGATGAAACTTTGTCGAATTTTCTGTTTTTGGACAAAGTATGAAATTTTGACTTACATGATGTTTGTTAGATAACGAGCTAGACTTTTATAGAAAAGAAAAAATCATTAAGTAAACGAAAAGAAAATAGCCAACGTATTCCAAAATGTCCCTTCCCTATTTATATTGTCGCCACTGTACATACGTATTTTTACGAACGCTATATACAAAACAGAATATAGTGTTAATACCATCTAACGTCTGGCCGAGCTTCTCCTCCAATTCGTAGTGTACTAACACAAATGGAGATACCGAAAATTTGACGTTCCTCCGCACGCTGTTAAAAAAAATGCGTACTCATCAAATCTGAAGTGTAAACGTAAATTTTTTTTTTTGGGGGGTTTTGAACTTTTTTTTCATATAATCAATTGCACCAAATATGCTTATATTTTAGTTTTTTTTTTTAATAAATTCTAATGCTTACATACAGTTGTCCACAAAATAGTAGGCGTGAAATATTTTGACTAGTTTTGGCTATATGTCTTTTGTTTATTTAGCTTTTTTTTTACAAAAGTCTAGCTGATTTTAAAGCAAACACCATATAAATTTACATTTAAAACTTTGTACAAAAATTTTAAAATTCTGCAAATTTTTACCAAAATTTCAAATTTTTTAACAGAGTCTTTAGAAAAAGTTTTAATATGCAGTTTTTTTGCCGATTTAATTCTGATAGCAAGTGTAAATTTCAAGTTGGTAAAAAAGCCCGTTGTTTTCTGATATTTTTTTTTTTGTTGAAGATGTTTCACGTTTTTTCGATAATAAGTATGTTCAACAATTTTCTTTTATATAGAGGACACTGCCCGCAAAAAAAAGGTAAATATCAAAGGGAATTTTTAGCAACTCAAAACTTGCACTTCATTAAACTAAAATATAATGGGCTACATAACTGCATACCAACATTTTTCTAAAGATTCTGATTAAAAAGTTTGAAATTTTCGAGAAAGTTTCCAGAATTTTTACCATTTGTGTACTTACCAAGATTGAAATCTGAATTTGTTTGGTGTTGTTGTATAACCTAGAGTTTTCTACAAAAATTTCAAACATTAAATAAACAAAACAGAGACGAATGCAGGTAGGGGGCTTGGGGGTTTTGGTTTGAATTTTAAGGTTTTCGAAGCTTTTGAAAGGGTAAAAGTAATTGGACTCAAATTGCACCTTTCAACTTTTTGCGTGTTCAGTATTATTTAGAGTTTCCACGTATTTTGGAATAAAATTATTTACCTTGGGGGTTGAAACCCCAAAACTCCTACCAGCGTATTCGCCCCTATCAGAAACTATTTGTAATTTATGGCGATTTCGTTTCTACAAAAAATGTTGCCTTCTCATCGCCCTCTTCTTAGTGTTTGTGCCCAGAGGGCAAAGAGAAGGTTGAATTTTTCTAAAGAAACGAAATCGGCATTAGATATTGCTTGGACCAGGAATCAAACACAGGCAGTCGTACTATATATCTCTGACCACTCAGCCGCAGAAGCCGCATATACCATCTACTGTACTGCTAAACCATTATAAATGAGTTCTTGTTTTTTTTTTTCTTTTTGTAGTTTTGAATGAAGTCAGCCGATAGTTTCTTTTTATTTTGATTCGAAATTTTCTATTAACCTTTCGAAAAATTTTCATATACCCACATACATACATCGTAGATATATAATTACTCATTAGTTAAAAACATTTAATAACTTGTTTTTATAAATTTAAACATTAATTTATGAACCAAAAAGTTTGGGGTTTAAAAGTTCACAACAAAGATAAAGACAGTACCTATCGCTGTACCTACAATAAATTACACACTAAAATTTCCACTTCACCATGAATTGTGCTTAATTTTTTCACACTGTAAAAATGTCAAGTTACTGTTAAATGTGAAAGTGTAAATATTTGGTTAGGTTAACGTGATTTCGTTTCTACGGTGCAAAATGTGTTTGGTGTTCCGGTCAACCCTGCCGAAGGACATGCTTTTGCTTTCGTGTCCTTTTCTAGCTGACGTATTTCATAATATTGTCGTTTTAAGCAATCATCTGATTTTCAGAACAACCATCTCTTCTGACAATGCTTCAAACAGCAGGGAATGTGCCTTTCTTGCTTTACAAGAGTGTGGCATTTTAACCGACCACCGTTTGCGTTTATTTGAGAACCGAACAGGAAAAGAGAAAGGGCAATGAAAAAGCGACATCTTTGGTAAAAAAAAAAAACGAAAACATCATTTTATCATATCTCGTAAATAACAAAATGTACAGAAAAATTGCAAATCGAACACTTGTAGTTCATTCAATTTACTACAAAAAAGTTTTTTGAACACCAATCGCTAATATCGATATTTCTTGAGATATTGAGCTTTTAAATTGATCAACAATTATCACAATTTAGCTCAATAATTATTGGCCCACTGTCCCAAGTGTTCCCAGCACAGTTTGGAGTACACTCTAAATACTTGTATTTATGCACAATTTTCGATTTAAGGAAAAATAAGCACGTTTTATTAAATGCGGTGGTGTTGGCTTATTGAGACAATTTCTACGCGATGAAGACTTCAATCAATTTATTTATAGAAATGTACCGATAAGGCTTCACAATGAGAACGCGAAAGTATTATTGATTACCGCCAATATACAAAGCTGATTTTTTTTTTCAAAATTACACGTGGGAAAATAAATTACAAATACTTTTACAGCCAATTTCATGAAAGCAATTTAATTGAAATATTATTTTAACTTATTGAAATTTATATGGAAATTGACAGAAAATAAAAAAAAAATAATTTTCCATTTAATTTTCTGGTGAAACCGGCTGTTAATTATAATAATAATAATAATAGATTGGCGCTTACACATACATATCTCAGTATTTGGCCGAGCTTCTCCTCCGATTTGTGGCGTGCGCCATGATGTTGTCACACAAAGTAGATGGACCTACAGTTTTACGTCGACTCCGAACGGCGATTGTATTTTTATGAGAAGCTGTTTTTCATGGCAGATCCGGCAAGGGCACGACCTTCACCCATCCGTATAATTGATGAAATCTAGTTTGTGTGAAATTTAATGTATTAGGAAATATATTGCGACTGGGTTGGCTGATAAAATTCTGGCCAGGATATTTTTAGTTAAATATTCAAAAATTATTACTTTTTCTTAAAATTTTTACTCATTTATTTAATTAACAAAGTACATATCACATTCTATATACTTATTACTTTCGATTGGTATATAATTATAAATTAATAACAATAAGTTTTGGATATTTACTCGCGAAACGTTTCCTAACACATTAAATTTCATACAAAATATATTTCATTCATTAAACAGTAAATAAGATAAAGGAAATATTTTGATATGGCTGCCAACCGAGAAAGCTTTACGAAAGTCTTATTTCGAAAACAGTTCTGGGGAGGGTTGCCAAGTGTTCAAAAAGTTAAAATCAATTTAAATAAGAATTTAAATAAGGAATGGGTATTTAACGAGATAGCTTTTAAGAAATCTGTGTATTTCGAAATTATTTTTGGCCAACGTTGCCACCAGTTTAGGAAGCTAAAAGAAATCCTAATTAAACATATTAAAAATGTGTGAGTTGTTTTTTCTTTCAAAAAATTTGGCATGCAGATAGCTTATGACCTTTTTGACATTTAGCAATAGGGTTACCACCTAACTAAAAAGAAAAATTTTATTTTAAATTACAAATGAGGGTTAAAGGAGAGGAGATCAAAAACGATTACTTAAAACATATTCTTTAAGAGAGATAACTTTTCTTCTTCTTCTTCTTTGATAGGGTTACCACCTGATTAAAAACTTGAATTTTATTTTAAATTAAAAGTGCAACGAAATTGTGCAGTATAACGTTAATGTGAACGAAATACCAAGATTTAAAAAAGCTTTATTGCAAAAAAAGCATTGTCATCTGTTTAAAAAGTTAAGTTCAATTTTGTTAATAAGTTAAATGAAGTATAGAGGCGAATAAATTTGGGTTAGAATGCTTTATTTGGAAATATTTGTAAGAATGTTGCCATCTGTTTAAAAGTCAAATCCAGTTTTTTTTTCATAAGTTAAATACGGCATTATATATGACGTCAATCGTAAGAGGTATAAGAAAGCTTTGTTTGTCGAAATTTTTTTTAAGAGCACCGTAACATGAAAAAATCGAAGAAGCTTCTGTTTGAAAAATCAAATTACTTTTTTCTAAGTGCACACCACCACTGTTTCACGCCAAGTGATTTGCAAATCTTCAGCTACATGAAAATCTTAAAACCTTAAGATTATCTATTTTCAGAATTCATATTTACACTCCTACATATGTTGTATGTGCAAATGTATGGCTTATCATCAAAAATGCATAAAAATGTGTTTTTCTTATAAAACAAGGCTACTTGAAGTATGGAAAAATTTTGTGCATACTTACGACTAGCACAGGCGCCGCTAGTAAAATTTTTTCGCCTCAGCAGTTAATACAGAAGTAGCTGCGCGCACATGTAGTCATCATGGTAACGAATGGCAAATATTCTTTTGATTCCGGCAAAGACAAAATTAAGGGTAAAACCATCGGGTATCGGCACTTGCAATGTTTGCTGATTTTCCTGGGATTTGCACTACTTTTCGCCATGCGTGTTAATCTCTCTGTGGCCATTGTGGCGATGATGGATAATAAGGGTGCGAATCCCGATTTTCCGGTAAGTGTTAAGCGTGACCTAACTGTTTCTGTCTGGCAATATTAATAAGCACCCTTTCGCCAATGCAGGAATATGCCTGGTCGCAGAAAACCAAATCACACATACTCAGCAGTTTCTTCTGCGGCTACATTTTGGTGCAAATACCAGCTGGCGGCTGGGCGCGACGCTTTGGCGGTCGTCTATTGCTGATACTTAGTGTCATGATGAGTAGCATATTTGCACTACTCACACCACTAATGGTCAACTTAGGCGGTTGGGCGTCGCTATGCACGCTGCGCTTCTGTCAAGGTTTATTTCAGGGTGTGACGCTGCCCACAATTGCGACACTAATGTCCAAATGGGCCCCGATCGAAGAACGTAGCGCTATGCAAACAATCTGCTATTCAGGCGCACAACTAGGCATAGTGCTAATGTTGGCTACCAGCGGTGTACTCTGCTCTTCCAGTTGGGGTTGGCCAAGCACATTCTATCTACCTGGTATTTTGGGTTTACTTTGGGCTGGATTCTGGTTTATTTTTGGTGCGAGCACACCACGTGAGTGCAAACACATTTCGGCCGATGAACGTGCCATGATTGAAGAATCCTTAGGTCATGATAAGCCGCAGGATGAACAGATGCCACTGCATGCGGTGCCATGGAAAAAAATGTTCACATCAAAACCTTTTTTGGTGCTCGTAGTCAATCATTGCACAAGCAATTGGTGCTTTTGGACGCTGCTCACCCAAATACCATCGTACATTAGCAGTGTGCTCGGCAAGGACATTAAGAGTAATGCCATACTATCATCGCTGCCATACGTAACTATGTTGGCGCTATCACTGCTACTATGTCCTTTGGCAAGCTGGTTAGAAAAATCACAAATATTAAATGCTACCGTGAGTAGAAAGATCTTTAATACGATTGGTCAGTGGATTCCGGTCGTGTCACTTATATCATTGGGCTACTTGCGTGCAGATCAAGGTGATCTGGCGATCGCTCTGCTCACGACGACTGTTACCATAAGTACAATTGCGCATTTTGGCTTTTCTGTGAATCATCTGGATTTGGCGCCGAACTTTGCTGGCACCCTTATGGGCATTGTCAATTGTTCGGCTAATGTGATGAGTATCATAGCACCGCTGGTGGTGGGCTACGTCGTTACAGACACGGTTAGTTTCTACTTCCACGAAAATGTTTTGCAGTTATATTTACATTTATTTCTTAACTTTAATACGAGTATTCTCTGCAGTCTAACATCTATCAATGGCGCATAATCTTCACAGTAGCTGGCTGTATGAGTTTTTCGGGTAATCTTATGTTTCTAATATTCGGCACAGCTAAGGTGCAACACTGGAATGAACCACCGCGTGCAGGTCGTGAAGCAGAACCCCTAAATGAACTGATTAACGATGCAAAAAAAGACGAAGAATGTACTGAAGAAGGAGAGGCGCGAGTTTAGTTGCGAAGTTAGAAGGTGTGAGTCGCCTTTATTGTAATAGTTGTATTAACATATGTGCCTAGCGGTGCAAGATAATATTTAGTATTTCAAATGATTTAAGTAGGTTTCATTTTATTCAAAAAAGTAATTATAAAAATACTTCGAACAAATATAAAAATAACTAATAAATATGGACTAAGGAGAAAAAGCTTACTCAAGAACGCACGAATTTACAGGCGTAAATCAAATTACGCATAATCACTCAAGCAAACATTAACTTATTTAAGCGTACATATGTACATTAGGGTGTATCACTTCCCATAAATAAAAAATCGGTAGGTAGTGTTTTTTAAGACTGGGGCCAGAATATAATAAAATTAACGTGAGTTGAACCCATTTGAAAATACCTGCAAAAATCGAGTTTTTTTTATAAGTAGAATTTGTTTAAAACAATTTTTTTTTTTTTCAAAAAAAAGCAACCCAGATGAGAGCAGACTTTTAAGCCTTAAAGGTCTGCATTAAAATTTTAAAAGATTTTATCAATGGAATCAAAATAATAAGACTACAAGACTGTTTGTTTTAATTTATCATATTTAATTGTTTATAAAAATTGCAGAAACAATTTTTGTATCAAAAATATTTATTTTTGCAGCTTTAACTGAAAACTTGTGATAAAATTTAAGATGGCTAAAATTTTGCCAACATTTTTTTTTTGTGGCCGACAGCGAAATTTTGTTATGGGACCGAAAGAAAAAAAGTTGTTTTATAAACTACGTATGCGCATAAATCCGTACAACTTTAGAATAAAGTAAACCAATTCAATTCTTTTTTTTAAATACTGTACACATTGGTGATTATTATTTTATTTCATTATATTTGAGTAATCGTGCACGCGTTTATGTAGTAAGAAAACATCTCTTTTTAAACCTGTGGCAACCCTTTTAAAAAAAGTCCAAAATTATTCAAAATATTCAAGTTAAATATATTTTACCACTCCTTCGTTTGACACCCATATTTTAATATTTTATCTAAAGTTTGTGTATAATATAATAAAATTTGACTTCTAAAACAGGTGGCAACCTTTTAGAAAAATTTTCGAACTAAAACCTTAAACCTCTTTCGCCAGACACCCAAATAGTGGCACATATGTATGTATTTGAATTATCTAATTGCCGCAATTCAAGTTTAATTGAATTTTTAAATATGTGGCAACCCTCCTAAATATAGTTCCGAAATAAAGCCGTTCAAACTCATTCATACCCATAATTTAATGATTCATTTAACTTACTAAATAATGTGAATTTAACTTTTAGTACAGGTGGCAACCCTTTTCCAACACCTCTAAAGCGTACTAAATATTTCAACTAAAGATCTCTGTACACCTTTTTGTTTTACGCCTATATTTCGATATTTTTTATAAATTGTGGTATAACTTAATTACAAGTGGCAACCCTTTTAAAACTATCTTCAAACTAAAGTTTTCTTAAACCTCTTTCTTCCGATACCCACAAAGTGATATATTTTTCAATTTCCTAGCTGAGGCAATCCTCCTAAATATAATTTGGAAATAAAGATTTTCAAACTAATTTCGATTGATACCCATCTTTTAATGATTAATTTAACTAATTAAATAATGTAAATTTATTTTTCTGCATCATAAGGTACAGTTATTTATTCCAATATTAAACTCAATCTCAATCTTAATCAGGACCAAACTTTCCCGTCATCCCGTTGCTTTTTCGTTTGGAATTAGAGCCTAAGGTGACAGTGTTTCATTATAAGATGTTAGCATTTACTTCCAACCGAACGAAAGGAAGTTTCACTTCAAAATAGCTCTCCGTGCTCGTTGGCAAGGCTCTTACTTAGGGATGTTGCGAAACTACTGATTTAATCTTGGTATCGATACTTTTGTTTCGATACTGGGTAAATCGGCATTCGATACTATTGTTTCCTATGCCCAATTGATATTAGTATCGATACTTTTATGCCATCGTACTGTATTCAAACCGTATAAACACTGTACATATACAGCGTAACGACATTGATTTGTTTTTATTAACCGCCTTCCAAAAAAGGAGGAGATTATCAGTTCGTCGGAATATTTTTTTTTTATGTATGTTACCGCATAACTTTGGATCACGTCAATCTTTTCTTTTTGCATCGGAAAGGTAGTGTCTCAGAGGTGGTTCCATATTAATCTGGTTAAGATCCGATCAGTGGATCATGAGATATATATATATATATATATATTTTTTTTTTTATATGAGAGTTTAAGTCGGGTTTTTTTTTGCTAAAAATTACTTGTTTTTGTTTTTCTACTTTTACGCCGAAAAGTAAAGTATGGAATCACCTTACTAAGTTAAGTGACACGTCTGTTTGAAAAATCTGAAATTTTCGTGCATAGAACAAATTTAAAGAAAGATTTACTGATTTTCTGATGAAATCGAGCCATTTCTTATATTTTGTTTATTACCTACTACAGTTTCAACAAATATTTCTTATTAATTTTCATTAACTGCATTATTCATATTATGTAAAAAAATTTTGTATCAAAAGGATAAAATATCGATATTTTATTTACGATAGCAATACCAATATATGTATCGATACTTAGCTTCTTATATGTGCATCATTTGATACTGGTATTGATACTTTTATAGTATCGCAACATCCCCACCCTACCCTACACCGTGCGACAGTAAATTTCACACACAAAAAATTAATATATTCGCGAAAATATGGGTAAATTATAGTTAAACTGCCTCTCTGACGTCAGGAATTTTTTAAAAGGACTTTGAAATTTCAAAAAATATGATTGTTTCTAAAAATTATTTAAAAAATTCAGTGCAACGTAGGATACCAATAAGGGTACCATATAAAAGAAAAAATTCTGTAGAATTACAACAGAATAAATTTTTTGGTGCATAAGAACGAATGAGAATGGAAAATGTCCTTTATGAATTTTGTCCTTAAATATCCTTGAAGATTTGCAATATTTTTTTTTTTAAATTACTGTTTGGTGACTAATATAGCATGACCTTAGCATCGAATTTCGTCCTGCAAACTATATTAACTTAAAAAGATTAAATTTATTAAAAGCACATTTTCAATGCATATTCGTCATTTTAAACCAAAAAACCTTATTATTTTAGAATTTTCTATCTCATTTGGTGTTACTCTACAACGCACAGATTTTTTTAAATATTTTTTTTGAAATAATCATATCTTTAAAATTTCAAAGTTATTTAAAAAACAAGTAAGAAAGTCTAAGTTCGGGCGGAGCCGAACATTAAATACCCGGCGCAAGTATTAAATATATGTTTTTCACCTTTCCGAAACCTACCGCTACATAGTAAACCGGGGTGTATCCATTTTGAGTAAATTAGCGTCCTTAAATCTCGAAATATTGAAGTTTCAAGCATTTCTGAAATTTACCGTTATATGAGAAGCGGGCGTTATTTTAGTGCGATTTCAATAATTTTCAACGTTTTGCTTACACGTGGCAAGTACAATAACCATACCGATCATAAGTGGGCGGTGTCACGCCCATTTTCCAAAATTTTATCATAAACGTATTTCTTGGTAGAGAATTGTTGCAAGCATCAATTTTGAATAAATTAGCTTCAATATTTAATGATTTATCGAAGATTTTGTATTTCTTTAAATTACCGTTATATGGGATGTGGGCGTGGTTATTGTCCGATTTTAAAAATTTTCGGCCATTTGGTATGCTGTACCAGGACCAACAACTGTGCCAAGTTTGGAAGAAATTGGTGCAGCGGTTACCAAGATATACACATGTAACCATAAGTAGGCGTGGCTACGCCCATTTGCCAAAATTTTTTAATATTCTTATTTTTCGTCTAAAACTCATTGTAAATATCAATTTTGAGTGAATTATCTTCAGTAGTTACTAAAATATCGCAGTTTTCGTATTTCTTAAAATTACCGTTATATGGGAGGTAGGCGTGGTTATTATCCGATTTCGCCCATTTTCAATACCATCCGTCCCACGCCCAAAAGAAGTTCACGTACCAAGTTTCGTTAAGATATCTCAATTTTTACTCGAGTTATCGTGTGCACAGACGGACGGACGGACGGACGGACAGACAGTCACCGCTTAATCGATTTCTCTTTTCATTCTGATCATTTATGTATACATTTGTCTATATCTATCTCGATTCGTTTTGCCTGTTACAAACAACCGTTATGTGAACAAAGTTATAATACCCTTGTGCACAAGTGCGCTCGGGTATAAAAAAACCTGACGTCAGAGTGAAAAACTAAAAACGAAGTTTTACTATATTTGGCCCATAGTTTCGTGAGTAAATCGATTCTTTCGTGTGTTTTGAAATTTTTTTGTTAATAGGATATATAATAAATACGATTTTATACTAAATATGTATGCCGCCCAAGTCCTTTGGATCTCCGATTTTGATGAAATTTCATACAGTTGGTTTAATACTTATAGAGGAGAGTGATTTTTGTAGTTATAATTCTCTAATACGAAAATTTTAATTTAAATATGTATAAGTCACAGTAATTACAAACTTTTTTATATGTGAACCGACCTGCTCACAGTTGCACAAAAATGCAAAACCGCGTATCAACAAAATGCAAAACCGCGTATGTGAAGTTGTAGAAATTATTTTTTAGAGCGTAAAAACACTCATATTTCAAAATGGTTCTCTTTTTTATAAAGCAATCGCTTTTCTGGTTAGTATATTTCAGGACGAATGGATAAGGATTGAGCGAAGAGCTTGTGCGAGCAAATCCAATTTTTGGCAGCCAATGTCAGTTACGCGGTTTTGCAGAATGACGATACGCGGTTTAGTACTTTAAACGACGATATGTTAATGTACTTGATACATCCCTGCAGAAAAAAATTATCAATTAATAAAAAAATAACCTACTTGTAGTTAGCTTTTTTGCGAGATTTCTATAAAATATATAACCTGTAGTTAGCTACAAAAAGCTATCTTGAAACAAGTGGACAAGTAATGCAGGAGTAAAGCTCGAGATTGTTTTCTTTAAACGCGTTTCTATTTAAATATCTTGCACTGCGCAAATACTTTTTCGAATTGAGGACAAATAAAAGGAAGATCGAAATTTCATATTATCATTTTGAAGTTATGTCTGACGAAGTTCGAATATGGGACCACCTACAGCAGAATATGGAAACAAATATGAAATGTAATAAAATAAAGTAAATAAAAATAATAAAAAAATATTTTTTTCCTATTGTTATTTATGTCCAAAAGTAGTTAGTTTCAAGTTAGTTAAATCAAATGCAGAGGTAACCACCCTTGACTACATCTAATAAAGAGGAGAACCACCCTTGACTATTTCGCGGCCATCGCCATACAAATATAGTTAGCTTTCGTCAAAGAAAATATGCAGATAATAAGTGACTTTTAGCTCCTTCTTAATCAACTTGAAGTTAGCTTATAGTTAGATACATTTCCTGCAGGGATAAGTGCGCATATATATCACTTACTATTACACAAGAAAAGTATTACAGGTTACTACCGGTTACTGCTGGTTTGAATATTATGTAAACTTCGAGTTAGCCTTAAAAAAAAAAATAATTGGAATATGTTAGGCGCCTTATAATTGGTGTGAATAGTATGCCACCTAAACACGATTGTTGTTAACCCTTCATAATGGCAATTTATGAGGTGCTCTTTGTTTATACATAAAACGCCATATGCACGCGTATTGTTTTAGATAACTGTACATACATACATACATATGTAGACGAAATTCGGGTATTCACAATGGTGTCGTAAGTGTCGTATTGTTGTATGTCGTACGCTTTAAACGGGAAAAAAATATACTAGGGGGGTTCTCAAGCTACCATTAGGTCAAATTATGAATTTTCACAGTGTTTAAAAAATAGTCGGTTGTGGTTTCAAGTCATCTACGGGTTTATTTAAGCTTTTAAAATTTACGCCATAGAACAATACGACACTCACGACATCGTTGTGAATACCCCAATGCATATATGTAAGTATGTATGCATGTATAGGTATAATAAACAAATACGAAGATACTAAAAAGAGATAAGAACACATTATGTTTATCTGGATAAACATATAGTATGTGTAAATATGTAAAGGCATATACATACATACAGTGACTCAAACAAGTGAACACGTGTTGATTTATGAGTTTCTTATGAAATAAAACGCGGGAGACCGTCAATAACAAAATTTCAAAATATCAACGCAAGTTTTTGTAAATTGCGCTTGTTATATTAAAAGCTCCGAAAGAGTAGCCTCCAAAAAAAAATCTCAAAAATCAACGCGCTTTTTTAGCCGTTTGAAATTTGCTCTTCATTATACCAAAATTGTATGGGCTATAAAACTGTATACCAAAAAACTGAACAAAAAGCTGACATTTTGATGAAAATTTGTTGAATTTTCCTTAATTTTGTATAAAGTTTGAAACTGTGATTTACATGGTTTTGATTAAGGTTTAGACGATTTTTTTATATACAAATAACAAAGAAATTTTGTTGGAAAAATTTTACGGTTATTTAAAAAAAAAAAACAACACGTGGTTATTTGTTTGAGTCATTGTATGTAAAGAAATGAGTATATATGTTTAGCGTAACTAAATTATCATCCTTCTGTAGCGTCATATGTATGTAGATTTTGTTACAAATGCTACTAGTCTTTATAAAGTGCAATTATTGACTTAATGTATAAACGTGCATTTGTCTATACGTCTATACGTATATCAGGTGTAAACAAAATAAATTAATGGGAAATGAGCCGAACATTTTCAAGCTGCGAACCAACTTAAAAAAAGACCACTGAAGCTTTCCTACATACGATTACTATGTATATAAGTAAGTAAGTCACCAAAAGAAAATTTAATAATATTAATTTGGCAAATAATTATCTCGAGAACCAATCCATAAAATTTCAATGCATATAAAAGTTCATGTCAGTGTATTTTTAAACCATTTTGGACTGCGAATATCTGCAAACTTAGAAGTAAGTAACAAATTAGTAAAAGACTTAAATTTTCGTAGAAATATTTTTTATTTTTTTTCTAAGAAAACATGTTGGATGGAAAAATGCAAACCTGCCGTTTTACTTTAAATGTGGTCAACCGTTTTGAATACTACGTAGCGACGCAATGAATGCAGAATTTGATTTCGGGACCAAGGAGTTTTAGAATCGTCGCTATTTTGAAAACAAGGATGGTCCAGTTTCTAACTTATAAATAAAAGTCTTCAAGAACTGTTATCTTAGACGCATAATATAAAAATCGAAAAAAACTCTTAGTTGCAGATTATGTATTTAGATAAAAATCAAAAATAATAGTTATTTAAGAAATAATTAAGTAAAAGTCGAAAAAATATTTGTTAAAGAGAGATTTTTATGGTACAAGGTGTAACTGTTACGGTCTCTGTCCACCACACCCCAATCTATACTTACACTGGGTAAAATATCCACTTTTAGTTCCATTTTTTTATGACCTTTCAAAAAAATTTCGAACCGAACCTTTTTGCTATCTAAATTTATTTTTTGAACATGTATTACTATTTAAAGACATACTTAAATTTATTTATATAATCTGTTTCAAAAAAATGTGGTATTGCAACTTTTTCTTAAAATCAGCTCTCAGCTGAGAATTTCGGAATTTGAAATTGTGACTAAGGAATATACATATAAATGAGTTCTTAGAGGTGCTGATTTTTTTCAATATTAGAATACTAGGTCCTCAGAGTTACTTAAAGCAGTTGCTGAAAATTATCAATCTGCTCAACTCACGAGCGGTCACAGAATAAACTCACTTAGCGAGAACGCAAACAAATTGATGAATTCAAGTTACAACATCAGACAGAGCGGCCACTGTGGCTGACTAGAAAAAACATACTACTGTTATATTAAAGGATTCGTTTAATTTTTGTATGAAATACTACGAGCAAGCAAATATGTTGCTCATACGCCATGTATCCAAGCGTTTTATCACACCTATAGGAAAATAATAGCTAATGATTACGCGAACTTTGAAGCATTTGGCGGAAGTTGCCGTCAACGGAATGTCTCTGGTAAAATGAATATTGATTTTTAACAATATTCTGTAAAAGATATAAATACTTCTAACTTCTTTTTCTTATTTGGCGCTGTAACCACCTATTTAAGCAATTTTGGCCGAGGTCAACAAAGCACGCCAGTCGTTTCTATTCTGTGCCAACAGACACCAATTCGAAATGCCAAGTGAAACCCAGTTCTACCACTCTTGGTCTTTACATCACAGTGCGGGCAACCACCAGCGGATTCCGAGTTGAATACTTTCAGACTTTCGTTGTCATTACATGATGAGTGACTCATAGAGTGTGGTTTTCATACATCGGCAGAGGACTTTACTCTTGAATTGCCTACTAAATCCAAAGTAGCACTTGTTGGCAAAAAGTAAACGAAATTATAACAGTGACGTGGGTGCCACGGGACTGTTTTTTCGATGACAGGAGATAATTCACCTTATTCTCGTTGACCACCAGATCGATAACAAAGTTGTGCTATGTAGAGTGCTGCCAGATTTCAAATTAAACAGATCTTATAAAGGGATAGCATTGTTTAAGAACCTTCTCTTGGTACCCATAAATAGTAATATTGTACCTTTATTTTAGAAACAAAAAAATAAATAAATATGCGATCCAAAATATGTAGGTGTTAACCCTATTAAAAATGTTTTTGAATTAGGAATTTTTATAATACCTCCCATTTGAATTATTTGTAACTAATTTCAAACAGGTGGCCACCTTATACAATTCCTCTCGGAGATAACATGAACGAAAGACACAAGATCACGTAAGAACAAGAGAGTGAAAAAAGTCGATTTTTTGAGCGGGTTCTACGCCATCTTGTTTCGCTGGAAAAATAAACAAAACAATGTAAACAAAACAACCAAAATTGATTCACAGACGATTGATTTAGGAAATTTCTAACAAATTGTGGCATATTAATAAAAATAAATGTTGGAAAACGCGTTGTTGTGTTAAATTAACTATTTTGTCGATGAATAAAAGTGAAAACTAGTGGTGTTCTCGTAAAATTACCTGTGTTTAGTTAGTTCATATCTCCGACATGTGCATGTGGTGCGCTTGATTCTGCGGCATAAAATTTATAGCTCCAGGAATAATCGCTCTTCAACATTACAACAGAGGTGTCCACGCGGTTGTGTGAGGAGCAAAAGTCTCGAAAGGGACCACCGTGGAACTTGATACATTTCATCTGAAAAATATGTAAAATGATTTACTAACAAACTACAAATAAAGATATTTTGGTTTAAAAAAAGGGTGGGCTTTAGTAGTCAGCCGCATCATGTGTTTTAAGAAAACCAGATGGAATTAACAAATGAAACTTGGTCAGGATGTTAAGGGAGATATCCTCTAAAACATTTATAACTACAAAAATATAAATAATATCATTGTTTATAAGTTATTTGTTGTTAAAATTTCTTAAGTCGTTCCACTTGGTTTCCTTAACAAAAAAGTATGCACAAATGATACTTTTATATATATAAATGCACATAACACTGTACTTAATACTTTACACACTTTTCTTTTATTTTATCTTGTATATAAATCACTTTAATTAAACTTTTATCGACTTGTAAATTACATTGAATTTCACGCATATTTACAATAACACATGGTTGCAAACTGACACATAACATGTGTTGCCATATTGTACAAAACAATACATACAAAGAAGGCAAATGATTAAAAAGGAATACAGGGGAAATCAATACAAAAGAAAATGTTCAGCTCCTTTTCTTCGCAAAACAGAAAAAAGAATTCTATTGCCTGAGGGTTATAATCCCTAAGTGCGGCCGAAGGCCGCCTACGCAGAAAGGTGTTCTCTGCAAAAGGTGTTCAGCTCCTTTTCTTCGCAAAACAGAAAGGAGAATTCTGAAAATGTGTTCAGCCCCCCCTTCTTCGGCAACACAGAAATAATAATTCTACTAAGTAAAAATTCCGATTTAAAAATCCGCTTTTATTATTCAAAATTTAAGTCTGGTAGCACTAAGTTGTATGTTATTTTGCTATCTTATTCATCGTTTATATGAAAACTTTAACAATAAATTATATAAGAACTATAGGGTTGCTAGAAAAAAGGGGGGTAGTTTTGAAATCAGGGGGTCCTACCCCCCCCCTCATCCTCCCTTTTTCTAGAATTTGCCGTCCGTCTACTAAAATTTTCCCACAAAAAAGTGGTGGTTTCGGCGTATACTTACTTTTGCTTAGTGAATAAAATGCTTGATTCTAGCTGGTTGAAGTAGTTCGTCCAGTACTGAGTTGGCGCTATAACCTGTATCGAAAAAAGAACAACCAAAAAATACAAATGTATGTACATGATTAAATTAGTTTAAAAATGTACATAAGAAAGGTGTATTGTATACTTACATAAAAATACACAATCAACGCTTGAATTGCATAGTCATTATTGTGGGTTTGTTTGGAGCAGTTTCGTAAACGCCGATTTTCCCATTCAAGCGATTCACTACGGAAAATTTATAAAAATGTTTACGTTATGTATACAAATCGTTACTTGGTATACACTTGCATTTTTTGGCTAAATCGCGCTTTTTCAAATTCAGCCTCCTTTTTTAAACCTTCCCTGTGGGATATAAAAACGTTGTAAAATATGTTTATTACATCTAGAGCGATGTATTTATTTAACTTACACTTGTTGCTGCAACAATGCTATTTGGTTGGAATTGTTTTCGTTTGCGACTTCCATCAATGGCAACCTTCCAGGCACAGCTATGTTTTCTTGTTCATCGACGTCAATTACCCGTGCAGCTTCCAACAAATCACCAATACTGAGGTCATTCCTCTTCACCTCATGAGCATCTTCGGCGTCAATTATCCGTGCAGCTTCCAACAAATCACTTATGCTGAGGGCATTTCTCTTCATTTCGTGAGGGTTCTCTGCCTCTTCAAGCAATTTGGCAGCCTCCAACAGGTAACTAATGCCTGAATTGGGGTACCGTTTCTTACCCACTGTCGGGACTACCCCCTTTTTGAGCATACGATATTGCACCAATCCTAGTACATAGTTCAGTCCAATCAAAGTTTCATGTACACATATATGGGTAAGAAAATTATGATATTTACCCATGTCAACTTTCAAAGCGTTTGCAAAATCTTCCGGCAGAAAGTGTTCACTACATACTCTTGCAGTTGGGTCTACCTGGCGCCCGCAAAAGTCCATCGACTGCTTGCGTAAGTTTTCATCTCTTGGGAGACGGTGAAAACTTATAGAACGGTCATTATAGAACTCGTTTTCGCATCCTAATACGGCACACTTCATTTTATAATAATTCTCACTCACAATTTTTAAAAAAGTTTAAACACATTCGAAAATAAACCGCTTTGTACAATATGAACCAGTCGCAAAATGTAAACAAACAACTGTAAACAAAGAACAGCTGACGAACCCGCTTTTTTGCTATTTTTTTCTCAAAACCGGTTACAAATACAACGTCGCGTTCTTACGTGATCTTGTCTTTTTGGTTCATGCGGAGATAATACCTATCTAGATAACCGTAAAATGCAAAACATAATCTGTATTTCATCCAAATCGGTAGAGCCGTTTCTGAGAACCTTATGGATATATGTGTACATATATATATATATATCTGTGTTAGTATGGAAAAGTAGCTTATGTCGAAAGGCTGGCTTTAGTATAATGCATGCCCTTATTCTTTAAACGACAAGGAATTTTTTGATGAGTCTTAATAAGAATATTGACTTGCTAGTATCGGAACTATTTCTTGCATGTATTGCCTCTCGCATAAGCTACTTTTCCATACGAACACAGCTATACAAGGATTCCTCGTTTAATGTACATAATGTATTTCGTTTCAGAGATATTTATCCATCGTAAGTTTTGTTGTATAATTTTTGGTCATCAATTATATTCGTGAGAATTTTATACTTTTCCATTTACGGAAAGCGCATCACATAAATAGTGATCAATGTCAGCCATAGACTCTACACAAAGTGTCTTTTAAGGATCTTATAGAATATTTTATACAGCAATATTGTGGAGTATTTGTGTGATCCGGGGTAATTTACGAAATAGACCTGCTAATTTACCAGAAATTCATTCCGAATTTTGATAAAAGAACTACATCTCTAACCACATCTGCAGTAAACGGGTTTTTACGGAAAGCTTTGCTTTCACTTGGAAATTGGCCTCTCGTTTTAAAGAAAACCCTCTTTGCAACGGTTTTGCAGATGTTGCTCGAACAAGTGATGGAAACTCAGCGCAGTCAATTGTTAACAGCACCTTTAACCACTGGGTGTAGACTATCGTTAGTAAATCAGATAACTAACTAGATAAAACTAAAATCAAATAAGGCATTATCTGCATACCAACTTATTCTATTCATAGCTCTTGACGTCTGTGCTTTCGGAATATTTTCCCAATGTCTAAATAAAAAATAAAATGTACATCTGTCTGCTGTTGCCTTAATGCAGACAAGCATGACAAAATTTTAGTGTTAAAACAGACCATAACCTAGGTTGTAAACAAAACTAATATTATCTTTTTCTTTTATTTTAATGATATTTATCAGTGCTGCTGCTGCTGCATGTTACGCACTAGCCAATGGGGAGGTATATAGTTCAACACACGTAAGAGCTATAAAATCTTTCTTACTCAAATACGTCTTTCTACGTATATTTGCACATATGTATGTATGTATATGGATTTATTATTTTGAGATTAACTCGCTTAGATTTACTGTCGTATGTGTCTAATGCCTTAAATTCTAACTTCCTCGGACGTAATTTTAAATTATCTAGTTTTTAGATAAGGCTAGATTTTGTGCATTTGAAATAATTTCGATAAGTAATGAAGTACTTGTAATAATCCTCAAAAATCGGGGTGCTCCGTGGTCTAAAAAATCGGCATATATATTTATTTTAAAAACCACTCGCATTGCTTTTGATAGTTAACTTTAACTTTGGTATTTTGGCAAGATCATAATCTACTCAATGATTTTGAATTGACGGAGTTTAAATAGAAAACGAAATGTTGGTTCGCTCGACTGTTAATTTATATGGGATTGAAAAATTCGTTTCCCTTGTGAAAATGTGTAAAGTCCATTAACTAACCCTTTATATGTGCGTACATATTTGTATTGTGGTATCCGAACAATTATATTGTAGTTCTTTAATCATTAGGCGAGATCATTAACTAACCCTTTATATGTACACACATACATATTTTGGTTGCGGATTAATATCGTAACTACTCCAACTTTGAGTATGAAGGCATGAGGTCCTCTACTCTTACTTGCTCCTGTGGATATTCAGAAACGACGACATTTCTTCTTCGGAGAACATATTAACCATTTATTTATTAACCATCGTACAGCGCTTTTTTGGACACGAAATTGATCGATCCTTCAAGTGGTTCTGATTAATTACATCTGGCTGAGTTTCAAATACCTAATGGACTTAATCCCGCAAAATAATCTCTTGTGGCACTCATTATTAATTTTTGAGTCTGGCGGGAGTTCTCGCCGCAAGAGAAAACTGAAATAATCAGATTCTCTGAAACGCATATTATACGAGAGTTTAAAATACTTTAACGTTCCCTCAGTTCGTCCGCCAGATTTTTTATTTTTTTTTTTGTTTTTTTTTCAGCATTTGAAAATTATAAAAAACTAGCAGACCCGGCGAACTTCGTCCCGCCCAAAATTAATTNCCGTTCCCTCAGTTCGTCCGCCAGATTTTTTATTTTTTTTTGTTTTTTTTCAGCATTTGAAAATTATACAAAACTAGCAGACCCGGCGAACTTCGTCCCGCCCAAAATTAATTTTTTTAATGAAACATTTAGTCCAACGTTTTCGCCAGCAATTAACGTTCACGTTTGGTTTTGTGGTCGACAGTAGGCAATGGAGGATTGCCGTCTTAAATAACCGGACGAAAGCGTTATACCGGCTCGGAAAGTCCTTGCGGCTCGATGGTGAATCGTCCTTGAATCCGTATAGTTTAGTTGGTGACAATTTTCAAGCTGGTGAGTATCATTGGTCCACATTCTGTTTAGTCAACGTAAAGGGAGGACCACAATGGTTCTGATGGTTGATTTAACGGGGGTAATTTGACTTTGATCTCTNAATTTTCAAGCTGGTGAGTATCATTGGTCCACATTCTGTTTAGTCAACGTAACGGAAGGACCGCAATGGTTCTGATGGTTGATTTAACGGGGGTAATTTGACTTTGATCTCTGGTGCCTCCAAGTTGACGATTGTTAGCAATATCCTGGCTCCAGCGCCACCTTGCGCATCTTTTTTGTAATAGTATTAGCCCTATCGTTACAAATACATATATATCTCGAGTATGAGTCAAATCGGATCACAAATACGATTTTGAGTAATAACTCGACTCCAGCGCCACCTGGCGTTTTAAGTTGTGAACTTTAATTATACAGGGACCTATTCAAACACATAAAAAATGTCACTGAAATCGTTTCGGTCGTTTAGGANCTTGGCTCCAGCGCCACCTTGCGCATCTTCTTTGCAATAGTATTGGCCCTATCGTTACAAATACATATATATCTCGAGTATGAGTCAAATCGGATCACAAATACGATTTTGAGTAATAACTCGACTCCAGCGCCACCTGGCGTTTTAAGTTGTGAACTTTAATTATACAGGGACCTATTCAAACACATAAAAAATGTCACTGAAATCGTTTCGGTCGTTTAGGAGGAGTCCACCCACCAGAATAAGTCTTTTACTTATTCAACATAAAAAAAAATCAACAAAGACGGTGTCTGATATTTTGGTCCAAGTTATTTTTTTTTAACTTAAGATAGGCATTTCTATCATAGTCCATCATATTTTTCATAGCTTATAGATGCTTAATTACATGTGCACATGTATCCGTAGATATGTATGTATTGGTATCAGTAGGGTGGCCAGATCAATTAATCAATTTTTTATTGTACTGATTTTTGAGAACCCAAAATTAGTAAGCGAAATGTANCGAGTCCACCCACCAAAATAAGTCTTTTACTTACTCAACATGAAAAAAAATCAACAAAGACGGTGTCTGATATTTTGGTCCAAGTTATTTTTAACTTAAGATAAGCATTTCTATCATAGTCCATCATATTTTTCATAGCTTATAGATGCTTAATTACATGTGCACATGTATCCGTAGATATGTATGTATGTGCATAGGTAGAAGTAGGGTGGCCAGATACGCTGCTTTAATCAATTTTTTTATTGTACTGATTTTTGAGAACCCAAAATTAGTAAGCGAAATGTACTGATTATCCGTGTTTGCACCGATTTTGTACTGAAATTATTTCTTTTGCTAACATTTCGCAAAATAACTGCTTGAATTCAACACAACATAATAGCCCTGTTCCAGGTACTTCGCGATTTGCAGGTTTCGCATGATTTAGAGGAAAATCTGTTTTCGCCATTAATAAACCTTATGGAAGGTGGCGACCAACGACCTGCAAATGGTGTAGCACCTGAAATAGACTTAGTATTTCAAACTGAAGACGACTACTGCTGCTCTTGTGCTTCTTGTGCAATGTAAGTTCTAAAAATTTTGGAAAATGTGCAAACTACCGACTCTTGGTGTTCGGCTACCTGTAATTTGACTTGCATAAACACATTTAACACTATTCAATTTCATTCGTACTCGAAAATTCGTTTAGNTACTTGCATAAACACATCTAACACTATTCAATTTCATTCGTACTCGAAAATTCGTTTAGCGAAAATTCGGTGTTATACCTTTCAGTCAACATTTTAGCTTAGTTTCCAGCTCTTAAAAAAGCGGTCAAAAACCAATTGCCATTAGTTCGTGTGTGTGACCAAGAAATTTTGACATTTGACAGCCTGTTGCCTCACATGTAAGTACACACGAATATATTAGAATCGTTTTGTATTTTTTACGCTGTTCCCCAACGTCTGTTTTGCCATATGGATTTATCTAAGGATTTAATCCGATTAACATGTTCATTTGGGCCTTATCATTAGATGGGTGTGTACATACATATATAACACACATATCTGTCAAGGTGCTATCATTTTACGCTTCCAGTTCAACACTTAGCATTTTAATTAGATTCAGAAGCTTAACCGACACAGAGCGGTTAGGAAGTGTTAACTCGCGTGCAATTCCAGCCTTAAATTAGCGTGCATTAGCTTGTCGTCAATATGGTAACAAATGGGCGCTCTTCCAGCGTTACAAAATGTAAGTAAACTAATTGCTTTAATCACCGCACTCTATAAACGATATTATATTAATAAATTCCCGCTGTCTAAAGTGCTGCCGCCGACATTTGGCAGGCGACATTTGCAGTGCCTCTTGATGTTTTTGGGCTTCGCTGCAGCGTTCGCTATGCGCGTTAACCTCTCGGTAGCAATTGTGGCCATGATGGACAGCAAAGCGGCGAATCCGAATTTTCGAGTGAGTAGCGAAATGCTAATGCAAAAAAAAAAACTTAATCAAATTATCTGAGTTTAATTAAATAATATATATATACATTACTTCATTTGTACGAAAACATTCATTTGTAGGAGTATCACTGGACGGAGAAGACTAAGTCGCGCATACTCAGCAGCTTCTTCTGTGGCTATATTTGCACGCAAATACCTGGCGGCATACTGGCGCGTCGCTTCGGTGGCAAAGTGATGCTACTCAGCAGCATATCCATTAGCAGCGTAATGGCGCTACTCACACCAATCGGCGTGGACTTTGGTGGTTGGAAGTTGCTCTGTTTCATGCGTTTCCTGCAAGGCATTGGTCAAGGCGTGACTGTGCCTTCGATGCATACTTTGCTAGCCAAATGGTCGCCTGTGCAAGAACGTGGCTCATTGGCCACCTACAGTTATTCGGGCTCACAATTCGGTACTGTCATTATGTTGGCTACGAGTGGTCTGCTCGCTTCCTCATCATTGGGTTGGCCCAGTATTTTCTATATACCCGGTGGTTTGGGTCTTATATGGGTAGTGGCATGGATAGTTTGGGGTGCAAGTTCACCGAGCGAATGTACGAAAATTGGCGCAGCAGAACGGGCTCTCATAGAGTCATCTTTACGTGATAGCGTTAAACAGGACGATGATAAATCCACTTTGCCTGTACCTTGGAAGAAAATATTTCTATCGCGTCCATTCTTGGTGTTACTGGTGACACATTGCTCGTCGACTTGGTGCTTTTGGACGCTACTGACACAAATACCCACTTATATGAAAAGTGTCCTGGCCATGGATATCAAAAGCAATGCCCTACTATCGGCACTGCCTTACTTTGCTATGCTGGTTTTGGGTCTAGCATGCTGTCCCTTAAGCGATTACATAGAGAAGGGCAACCGCTTGAGTGTGACCACTAGTCGAAAACTCTTTAATTCAATTGGTCAGTGGGTACCAATGGTGACACTTATTTGGTTGGGTTACATGACACGCGACCAGGCTGACTTGGCCGTAGTTCTGTTGACATTTACTGTGGGCATTAGCACAACACTGCATCTGGGCTTTCAGGTTAATCATATCGATTTGGCGCCAAACTTTGCCGGCACGCTTGTAAGTCTTACCAATTGTGCTGCCAACGTGTCGAGCATCATAGCGCCGTTAGTGGTGGGCTACATTGTTACCGATACGGTAAGTTTCGCTAAATTAAATACGCTTGTTCGTTTTTTTTTGTATTCAATTTCGTTTATTCTCTTCGCTTTCTATCCATTTCTAGAGCAATCCCATCCAGTGGCGTAAAATATTTTTCATTGCGGGTGGTATAAACTTTTTTGGAAATTTACTCTTCATTTTATTCGGCAGCGCCAAAGTGCAACCGTGGAATGATGAGAAAGTGGGAAAGAATCATGAAATTAAGCCGCTTAAAGTAGAAATGACGAGTGATGTACCAATCACTAGGAGGGAGTCTCAGTTAGCTGTTTGATGGGCTTTAGCGAACTTACATAACCGATAGTTCTTAAGAAATATTTAAGTGTCTCTTAAATGTTTAAGAATGTGTCGTTTTATTTGTTTAAGTTGTTATTACAGACAAATGCGTTGTGATGCTACTATGTAAGAATTTTTAATATACATTTTATTATATAATCTTACTACGTACTAATAATAATCTTAATACGTACTAACATTTGTAGTAATTGATGCCAAATTTAATGAAATTAAATAAAAAACCGTTTACCAAAAAACTTTGGGCCACGTTAATCTATTTCTATAATTTTTTATTTTTTTTCGAAGAAGGGTGGTACCACAGAGGTGGTTCCATACCAATGTGGTTTAGATCCAAATCATTGAATCATGAAGAATTTAACGGTACTCTTAAATTTTTATATGAGAATTGAAGCCGGTTCTGTTTCCTACTTAAAAATTACTTGTTTCATTTATTTACTTTTTTCTTTTCTTGATCTGATTTTCTTTTATAATACTATTCTTTTAAATTAAATTAAATTTTGGGGAACTTTTTAAATTTTTTCTTTGTTAAATAAATTTTTTTCTTTCAGTTTAACTTTCTCTTAATTTTTATATTGTATTATTAAAAAAAAAAACAAAAATATATATTTTTTTAATTCATGTAACTTAATTTTTAGAATTATTTTTTATTTGTTTTTAATTTTCAAAAACTACTTTCATCCTTTTTGAATTATTATTTATTTATTAAGTTTGTAGATTTTATTATTTTAAGAGAAAAATATATTATTTTCATTTAATTTTTAAAAATCTTTTTTGTACATTTTTTCTTTTTCAATTTAACTTTCTTTTATTCATTTGTTTTCATTGTTTTGAAAAGAAATTTATATATCCGCATATTTTTTTTTTTAAATTTAATTTAAATTGACTGTGGTGAGTTGAAAGACAGTTGCCGGTATTGCCCTGTAAAGGCAGAAGCAAAATCTTAGAGAGAGGAAACAATTGACACATTTGTTCAGCACAAAATTTGTGTTTAAATGGCAGACCTACGAGTGTATTTCTGCCATGTCAAAGCTTCTCATAAAACCCATTTATATTTTAAATTTTTTTTAATTTCTTTAAGGTACAGATATATTGGCATGTAGCGTTCAGGAAGAATTCCCTATAAAAGTACATCGGTATTGTGTATATTTATTTCCATATGAATTTACGTGTCTCCCTATTAAACATTTAGCACAAATCATTGTGTGCTGCATATACGATGAACTTTTCTACTCAAACAAAACAGCGACGATATATTTTTTTTACCAATGCACCAGAAGAATCGAAAAAAATGTAGACATATATTTACCGAAATGCTGAGCAAACGATTACTCTCGAGTACTCTAGAGTATAAATTCAGATGTCTCAATATTTGATGGTACGAAGTAGTCAGTACTTGCAACTATCGGTATGGGCATCATCGTGCCAAATATTTTTAAGTGGTGGAGGGATGTACTCTGAGTCCAGGAACTTGCCTCTCTAAGACTTAAGGCTGCTATAACGGCTATCTCTCGAGCAAATACGTCAAGCAAATGCAGATTTGCTTTCAGGGCTTCATTAGGTGAGGGGCATAGAGCTCCGCTTATGCCAAACTCCGCACTTCTTCACACCCCTTATTGACTTATTGATGCTGGGCCGTGTGTTTAAGGTCCCACGGCCGTGAAGACCCGGTGAACAATCCTAGGCGAAAACACCATGATATACCGGTCGCTTCTTTACATGTGAAGAATGCCAAAAACACTTTTCTAATAGGTTCCATTAAGTTGACATTCCAGATTAGTCGAGAATTACTTAGGAGTACGTTTGAACTTCAGGCTTCAACCATCGAGTTTATAGGGTGTAAGCGCACAGTTTTTGTTCCAGATAACTAGTGACAACGAATTCGCATAGCGTTTGTGACAAATCATCGGCATATGCAACATCCGCATATCCTTCCGCCTCCAGCCATTGCAATATTTGGAGAGAGAACACTCGTTGCATAGTGTCCTTCCTCTCAGATCTGCGAGTCACCACTCGACTGCTGAGCAATTTCTAGATAAGCCCAATGACAACTTTATGCACTCGCAGGTCCATCAGGGCGGAGGTAATCGCATACGGGATGGCACTGCTAAAAGCGCTTGCTAAGTCAAATTCCTTTATTTCCAGCGGTCTTTAAATTTTCCAAACTAATAGCTGTAGGCGAGCTACACAGTAGAGCTGGATTAATTGAACATCTTACCCCATATATGTACGTCTCAAGACATCTTTACAGAGGCTTAGTAGGGAAGAGGAAAGGCTTATAGGCCGGCTGGTTTAACATGAAAAGCTCTACCTCCTCTCGGTACCTTGTACGACCTTACATAGAAAAAAAGTTCACCGCATCACACTAAGTCTCCTCGAGATAAGAATATCAATATATCATGCTTTAAGATCCAATTATAAATCCCAAAGATATGAAGGCAAAAATAAATAATATTTCGAAATTGCTTTGCAAAATTACTTTAGATTAGAGCTCAGAAACCTCCACTTTTAAACATTTTCCATATTTTTTGCTTTAATCTTGCTCAAGCCATTAGTTTAAAAACCATAATTATTAAAAACCAAAATTACGTAAGAACTGAATGAGAAAAGAAACCATTTAGCCTGCGTTGTTTAGAATTTAAGGTTATCATAGACATTTTAAACACAATTTGGTAAATTATTCGAACAAATCTGTTACACAGTGTTCTTTCCTATCAAACTCCACTCATTACTATATCTCCCGATATCCATCAAGATTCAGTGAGTTAGATTCTAAAAATATTTTACACCTGCAAAACTCTTCTTATAAGATCAAAAAATTTCCATAAACTGATTGTGATAATACTTATACGGTGCAAGCATATCAGTTGTTATTTGAATAGGCTTAAGTAAGAAGTTCCAAAGAATCGTCAACTAAACTGAACCAAGCAGTCCTTCGATAATGTTTACCTCTCGACGGAATTCTTTGTTTTTTTTTTATATTTTGCTTTGGAATACATATGTATATGGCTTGTGTACCTTTATTTAAATATTTATATGTATTTTGTTATATATTATAGTTAAGTTTTATCTTATGAAATAATCTTTTTGCAAATGTGTGGTTTTTTATATTGCAGCCAAAATGCGGTTGATGAGCTATCAAATCCTCACTAAGGTATCTTAAATTTTTCATTTAGAAGCTTAGCACCTACAGAGCTGTTAAGAAGTGCATTTCCTCCTAATAAAACACATAGTTGAGACATAGTTTCCTATAATTAACTTTAATTGACTTTGATCAAAATGGTGTTAAATGATAATTCCTCAAGCGTGCCAAAATGTAAGTTCTCTAAAGCAATGATATTACTAGATAGCGTTATTTAGATTACTCATGTACATACATACATATATGTGTATACGTGTATACTTACATATGTGCATCAAAATAAGAATAATGTTACTCATACGCCGTGTTATCTGTGTATGAAGTTCGCAGTGGCCTGTAACTTCATTAAATACTTGAAAATGTTTGTGCTTATGATATGATGTAAATATCTATTTAAATAAAAAACAACACTGAATGGATTTCTTTTACGTAAAGATTAGAAAACTCATCTGTCATACTATTAGAATTATTATCTATCGCAGTTACGTAACCCTTATGAAACTGATAACAAAAGAGAGAGCGGTCCGGTGTGTCGTCATAAACCGTAGAATTAAAGATTATAAATATTGGATGCAGACAAATTATCAAACTGAGAGAGAGTGTTGCGCTCGATTTAACATACAAAATTTCTATTCTTAATTCCTTGATTAATGTGGAGCTAATTGAATGAATATGTGCATGCCACACTGCTGGATATGTTTAATTTTGATTGCGAGTTTTGATTAGTAAACAAGTAATTTTTAAGCAAAAGACAAAACCGACTTCAATTCTCATATAAAAATTTAGGAGTACCGTTATTTATTCACGTTCCAATGATCGTATCTAAACCAGATGGGACCACCTCTGAGACACTACCTTTCCGATACAAAATCGGAAATTATCGAAATCAGTTGATGTGGTCCAAAGTTATGCGGTAACATACATAAAACAAAAAAACAAAAACTAAAATATTCCGACGAACTGATAAACTCCTCCTTTTCTTGAAGTCGGTTAAGAAGAATTGGCCCATAAATAGATTAGATATATGATTTTTTTTCGCGGTAAACTTTCCGCTGGAAACACCCGTATACAATAATAATAATAGATACACAGATTGGCGCTTCCACAATATGTTTGTGTTTGGCCGAGCTTCCGCTCTGGTTTGTGGCGTGCGCCTGGATGTTGTCACACAAAGGAGAGGAGCCTACACCGAACACTCAGAGGTTTGCCATTGCATGGCGATCGACCACAGCCAACTTTTTTATGTTGTCCGCAAACTAGGCTCAAAATTGCCTCTTTTTCAAAGCGTGAATATGTTAAACTGGCGCCCCTGGATTTAAGGCCCATGATGCCAATATCAACTGTGTACGTCATTAGCATCGTTCTTTTTCGAAAGTGAATCACGTTTTCTACATCCGCGTGGGATTCTCTTTTTTTGTGTTATCAAAATTGCTTTTAAATCGACAAAAAGGTGGTGTTTACCGATTTACTTATGTAGAGTCTTCTATAGCTTTTGACGTGTTTTGAAAATGGTCTGCATGGATGACTGCACCTGAAGGTCTGAAGCCACTCTGACATGGTCCAATCGGTTGGTGCATGAAGGGCTTGCTACTTGCACACCGTATCGGCGTTAAAACCTTATAAGGAATTTTATGAAAACTTATTCCGCGATAATTGTCCTTTAAAAAGCGGCAGGGCAATTTTTCATAATATTTTTATATTTATTTAAAAAAATTTTAATACGTATTTTATTTATCTCTGAATTTTTACAAATACATTTGTCCAATCATAATATTTTTTTAGTAATGATTATTTCCATTATTTTCTGCAGTGAAAGTGCCCACATTCGGCCGGCGCCA